CACCTCTGGTGCTTTCTCAATCGGACTCGCTCCTGTAAAAATATTAACCATGGGGAATGAGACTTAAAAGTCCCAGTAACTAAAAATTAATATGTAATGATGCATGCGGATGTAACTAATCATGCGATTGCTAAGTGGGCACACAAAACATTTAACCGAACAATACTTTTAAACAAACCGAACAAGTATTTAATTTGCATGACTGCACCTTATATCCTCCTTTCGCCATGCTCGGAGGCCAAATCACTCGGCTAAAGGTGAGTTGGACCAAGCGACACGTCCACTCATTGGGTCCAATAAGGGCTTACCACGTGGTAATAATTAACCGAACAGAAATTCCATTAACACCATACATTAAATACCCTTACAAGTCATGGATCATTCAAATATCCAAACAGGAATATATCCGAACAATAATATCTCATCATGATAAACAAAAATAAATTTTTTAACCCACTTGGCAATAATTTCAAACAAGTATATATATACAGTATTTATTTTCATTAATTCATAATTTTTTAAATAATAAAACAACACATAATCATTCACAAACACACCCATCATAACACATTAATAATGGTTACCTTGTGTCTTGAATAACAAGTTCCCCATTCACAACTCCTTTTTCACCATTATCTTTTTCAATATAATCTACATAATTATTTCACAATACTATATATTAATTTTACATTAAAATAAATAACTCTAATTTAAAGAGTTAGAAAGTCTTAGATCTATAATCCATAGTAACACTAATTTAAGATTTATGCCTCATTTAACTTCCCAAATTCTTTTCTAAAATTCTCATACCCTAATAAACTATTTTTTTATCCTCAAATCACTTCTAGTATCACAATTTCATCCTTCTATATTCTAAAAATTCGTCCAAAAATAAATTAAAAATTTTAAAATTATCCTGAAGCCTCAAATAACCTTTCTATAACCTAAAAAATACCTATTCATATTTAAATAAATATTTAATAATCATAGGTTTATCCCTACATCTCAGATTCCACATAAATTCAACCATATAGATCTAGATTTTAACTCAAAAATTTTTAAACATGAGTTTCAACCTCAAGAAAATATTCTATAATATTTATTATATTCTAAGAGTTTTAACCTATATTTTAATCCATCATATCATCAGATTAACTATCCTATAGAAAAATTCTAATCAGAATATTTACTCTACCCTACAAAATAATCATATAACTAGAAAGCTAATATTATTTAGAAATAACTATAAAATTAATTTGTAATTAAATAAATTTTTAAATGCTAATCTAAAACAGGAAAGTTAGAACATACCTAAAGAAAAAGAAAATAATCCTCCCTTGCGAGAAGACGCCAAGCAACGTGAGAGGAAAAGAGAAAAATAATATAAAATAAATTTTGGGTCCCACAATTATATAAAAAAAACTATAGGTTTGAATTTAATTATTCAAACTCTTGGGCCAAAAGTTACAATTTTCTCTAAATTGTATCTTAGCCTCTCATGCTTCCTAATGCACACACACCCCCTCCTTTTTATACATGAAGGCACCTCTTCTCTTCCTTCATCTAACCAATGTGGCGACTTAAAACAACAACCTTCTACCTCTTTTTTTTGGTTCCTTCTACCTTCTCTTTTTTTTTTAAAAACACATAAAAAAAAATTATTTATGTATTATATCTTAACTAAATATTGTTTATGTGGTTTTAAATTAAAATTTTTAAATTTATAATTAAATACCTAATTATAATATTATTTCTAAATAACCTCAAATAATATAAATTCTTATTATTATCGTTTTTTTCCTCAAAACCTAAATTCCACAATTTATTTATTATATAAAAATCAGGATGTTACAATTTACATTCATAAAGATGTTATCACGATGGAAAACTTTAAAAACTTTGGATCCTATTTTAATAAATGTTACAACTTGAAAATTCTTATTTAGGTTTAATACTTGTGATTTTCTTGAAATTGGAGTTATTGGATAATAGTAAGGGAGACTTTACATTTGATGCAATAACAGATTTAATAAAAATAATTTCCTTATGTGAGTAGACAAGAAAGTTAATCGATTGTCTATTTACTTGATCTTGTTAACCTTTAGCCATAATTGTACAACTAATATCTTCCCAAAAGTTCTTAAAACTATCAACTAATAATTAAATTTCCATTTTAGTATCAACTGATAGCTTGACTCTCATCACATGGTAACTTAGCACTTTATAATTGGGGCCAATAACTGCAATTGCATCAATTAGAGGTTGAAAGTATGTTGAATTGACAACATTCAATGGATACAACAATGATACATCCACTTAATAGTAGCTAAGTTTGCTCTATGTATATGTTCTTTACCCACAAGTGCACTTCGTATCCTTAGTTGTGCTCTTGGGGTTATTCTTAGTACAAAATAGTTATCTCCCGATACCTTTCTTTTTCTAAGTCGAGCTTGAATTTGTGGCTGGCTTTCCTTTTGGGTTTGAGATTGAGAAGTAGAAACTCTTGTGAATTTCCATCATTGTTTTCTAATGGTGTGTTATTAAGGCCATATAGATTGACCTCTTTATAATTATCTTGCTTCTTATCTTTATTCTTCTAATCTCCTTCAATTTTCTTTTAGTCCATAGCAAACATCAACGAGCACCTTTTTACAACTGACTGCATCCCCTTTCTTTCCAACAAGGTGTTGTTTCATTCTATGAATTTCTCTACCACCAAATTCTTTTACACAATATAAGTGAACTTTACTATCTGGGAGCTTAACCTTAATACAATGCTCCCATGTAGGATCTATCTTTGATCTAACAAATTGTGTTGACGTAGTAGTTGAAGCATTTTTAAATGTCATTTTCTACAAGGCAGAATATAAATTTGTCATCAAGAACTTAAAACTCAAAACCTATTGTTATAGAAATGACAGGATAGCCAAAATCTATATAAGACCAGGGAGAAGAACATTGGAGTATAAAAGAGTAATTACATCATACTAATATAGATAACTCAAATAGGTAATTGTAAAAGACATAAGATTCTAAAATTACATTATGCAAGGAATCAATCAATAGTTAAAAAAGGATCTTTATTGTCATAAGAGGATAAAATACAAAGTAAAATAAGTAACCTAAGATAATAAAGATGGAACGAGATGTGGATGATATGGCATTTAACCCTTATAAACAAAATTGAATAAATGAGGTCTTTAGATAAGAAATAAATGGTTGTAGAACACAATTTAGATTTGGCAAATGCTAGAAGGAATTTGAAATTAAATATTCTTCATTCATGTATTTCGAGGAAATAGTATAAAAAGATCAAATCATATGTAAATTGTATTTTCCACTTTTGCATGGATATTTTTCTATCTCTTTATTGTTGTCATATGTAAGCTCAAAACATAATTTAAGAAACTTAGATTTGAAGGAACCACAATCCAGAGCCAAGCTCAATCATGTTCATGACAGTAATTAGTTCTTTGCTTAGACTCCTTCAACTTTCAAGTATGGCTTCCAAATGCTTTGCTCTTCCACCATACAAATACTCATATTTTCTTTCATAGGTTTACCACAAGATTATGCACCCTATTTGTGAAAGACATGAACAAAGTAGCCAAACACAAGGGGAAAGTAGGTGTTGACCAACCCTTCTCATGATAGAAGAATCAACATCAAAGATGTTATACAATATAACTAAATGTTTAGTTTATATATCCAAAATATTAATTCTTTGCCCATATTGTTTTTTTAAAAAAGATTCTACTATATAAAGAATTGAAATACAAAAGACTTATTGTGATGATGAAGCAGGTAAACAGAGAAGAAGATCATAACTCATAACTTAGTAGACGGCAATCGACTGGTGGCTATGGCATGTGAGTAGAGGCAAACAAAATGATCAACAAGACAAAGAAGGAGGGAAGATGAACTTCAGAGATCAATTCGTCGTTGGTTGTAGCTCAATGCATGCCGTGGTTGACATCAATCGATTGGCAAGAATGAAAGGAGGAGGATGAAGTTGAACACTTGAGTAAGGGTTTAATGTCAATCGTGTAGTTGTAGTTGCCGTAGTCACACTGTCACAGAGAATGAGAGGAGGAGGAGGAGGAAGTGAAGCGCTACTTTCAGCCTTGTGTTCGTGGTCTATTTGTTACTGCTTCGATAGATTTTAGGGCTCAAAAAGGAAAAAAAGTCATTTTTTGAGTTGTTCAATTTTTAAGAATCAAATTCAATTCCCGGTCTAAAAGCTAATCCAAAACTATTTAATCCAATCCAATTCTTCAAAATGTTTTTTTTTTCAGGTTGATTGAGCTGCTTGCTTAATTGACCGATGGTCTAATTGATCTGATCATTTGATTTGGTTCAATTTTTAAATCATTGATAAAAAACATTGTAACGTGTACACGTAAGAACCTTTCTGCTTTTTAAAGCGTCAGCCCTTCCACGCGGTGGGGATTCCTCCGAGCACCAACGCTTATTATTTTATAACCTTGGTTTCTTGACTTTTCCTTTTCTTTTAATAATAGAGATTCGCAAACACGTCTATGGTTTTGCCTCCCCAGATTAATTTTCCCACGGTAAGTGAACTTTCTCATACGATCAGAGAAGGCTTATTCCATTTTTTTTATTTTAATAAAAAAAATTAGCAAAACATGAAGCAACAAAATCCGTCTTAGGGACACATGTGTGACACGAAAATTATATTATCGCATTTATCTTTATGTTGCCTAACTTCCCTGTGAATCCGTTAGTCCGCGAAGGTATTATTAAATGTGCGTGTGTTTTTTTTTTTTTTTTCCATGGTTATTAGGAAGTTGCGAGGTGCACCCAAAACGTTCTATTATGTAATTCATTCAAGGCCAATTTCCATTTCTTTTTTTTTTTTTCCTCTTACGGAAATCTGTTTGTTGATCAGCTAGACCAATAATTCGTCTTCCGGATTTACCCTTGTCTGCGCCTTCCGTAAAATTGGTAATGTCTGAAATATAAGCAACGGTTAATCTTTTTCCTAAATCTTTATCTTTTCTAGTTGGATCTTTGTTATTGTTTTGGTCTTTTGGGGTCTGTTTGTCATGCAAGAATTTGTGGACCCTTAAGCTCTGGGTAAAGTGTTGTGGTTCAGTGCTTTGTCTTCCTGCAATCTGATTTAGGGTTAGGGTTAGATCTGCTCCCTCAGATTCCTTTTTTTGCTGGTTTTAAATATCTTCCGTTGAACTTAGGGTTTTCGTCCTCATCCTTAATCATATGGTTAACCAAGTGAGCTGCATATTTAAAAGATTTTCTGGAGTTTTTATACTGCATTTAGTTCCAGGAGAATTTCAGACATCTGGATCAATAACATGTAAGCTTAATTCTGATTATTTTAAGTCATATATGCACACATACATCTATATATCTATATATCTATATGTACAAATATTCTTGAACAAAATTGATATTGAGTTTGTGAACTAAGTAAAATTATATTTGATTCTTTTTTATTGTTTTTACGATAAATTGTTCAGTTTCTATCCAGTTGAATTCGAAATAATAATGTTCTGATGAGTTTATAACAATGTTTACTTTGTGCATATTTATTTTTGGACACATAGATGCTGGTTAATGATAACTAAAGCTCCCGAAGATCCATTCTAAAAGAGCCTTTGTTTTTATGTTTGAGGTTCTGATTGATTTCTGATTTACCCTTTCCCCTACAATCGGGCAGATCAAATGTTAATTTAACTGCTAATCTTAGTTAGTAAGCTTCCCGTTAAATGTTTTTAAATTTCAGTTTACACCTTCTCCCCTTCTTTTGTGTTTGCTGATTCCATTGCAATTGATTATAAAATGAACATTTTAGAAAAACAGCGTTTGATGTCTCAGTAAATTAAACTGAAAATTACTGCCAAGGCTGTTTTATTTGATTTGACATCTTCAAGTTATCGTCACTTTTTTCTATTTTTACTTGGTGAGCTTGGTATGACTGAAGCATCATTACCTATTTGATGATGCTTACATTTTTGGACTAAATTTGTTTGACGCATAGTTGGATATTTTTGCTTCTTCATCACTCTTGGTCCCTGAATAATTAAGATTAATCTTGTTATTTGCATAAGTGACTTGTATATTATGTTTGGACAGAATTTTGGTGTTATCACGTGTTCTGTTATCTTGATTGCCCGTACCTGCCATTCTGGTAGTGTCAGTAACATCAGTCATGATATATATTATGTTTGGTTATACTTTTGTTTAAAGTTCAAATTGCGCATTCAAATTATGCATTCCCATCATTGAGTCATTCAATTATGAATTAGTCTTGTTTATTCAAAAAAGAGTGTACATTTGTTGATTAACCAGAGTAATTCTCGCTGAAAATATGTTCTGTATGAAACAACTATAGGTGCTACTATGATGAGGAACATCTCATTTCATAGATAAAGTAAATAAGTACTTGAAGGACTGGATGCATGAGTTTTCAGTGCCATCTCCTGACATGCTTGTAAGGAGTTAAATTTCATAATTATATTTAATATCAAAAAACAACTTACTGAGGTTCCAACATATCTTTTCTTTCTTACCTGCCATTGTGGTTGATGGTTAAGAAACCATTTTGGTTGCTGATATTTCACTTTATCTGAGTTCTTTTTCTCTCTTTTTGATGTGTTGCATTGTAGATTTGATGCTTTCCAGCCATTTTTGAAGATACTGGATCTTTTCATTGCCTTCAACGGAGTTTTATTTATCTGAGCTGTAATATGCAGCAGAAATTCAAAGTATCTAAATAGTTTACATTTCTTGCTCCATAACCACTCTTCACAGTAAGTATTTTTAGAACCTAGAATAGATTATATTCTATTTGTAGATTTTGCTTGACTCTTTTTTATTCACGCAGGTAACACCACCAAGTGCAGATATATTTAGTATTGCCTTTGTAAGAGGTTACTAATGGGGACAGAACTCATGAGAACATGTATTCAAGAAGATAATGATGAGTTTCCACCAATTCCACCAGGTTTTGAGTCATATACATCGCCCTCACTGGATAAGGGGGAAGGCATTGAGAAACAGAAGGATAAAAACATGATTGGTTTTTCAGTCTCTACAAGTGTTCCTAATTGTAAATTACAGTCACTTCAGGCTAAAACTGATGTTCAAGTCAGTGATACTGCAAAGGTTACTAGGTCCCTTCGTCGAAGACAATGGATCAACCATGGACAGTATGATAACAGTTCAGAGGAAGACTCTGATTCTGAGCGGCTTGATCAAGTTAGTCTTATGTTCAGTTTTAGTATATGGGATTGGGGTCTTGTAATGTTAAAATTAATGTATGACATTTCACAAGTGAGAGACTGCACATCCGGGTGGCATCTTATATTTGATTGTCAATGCAGAATTTTTCCCCAGTACCATGTCTGCCAAAGGGAGTTATCCGTGGATGCCCAGATTGCAGTAATTGCCAAAAGGTTATTCTTTAAGATTTTTGCCTTATTTCTAATTAAGAAAAGTTTTTTGCGGCTTTATGTTTGTGTTATATAGTTCACTGACTGAGGGATTATTTTTGGCATGCCAACACAATTGTAATGCTTAGTGACGACAAAGGACCTGCTTGTGTCATCTTCACATATATTGTAATTAAAAGTAACATAAAATGCAGTTATTTTTGCATAATATCAGTGTCTGACATTTAAAATGTTGTGACAGGTCATTGCCAGATGGAGACCAGAAGATGCTTGTAGGCCCACCCTTGAGGATGCTCCTGTTTTTAACCCAACTGAAGAGGTCTTGATGAGCTTTTGTGGCATATTTGGATTCTCATCTGTTGCTATCATCAGCAATTTTACTTCTCATTTTAGTTATATTAGAGAATCAGATCTTTGACATATCTGATTTTTTTCAGGAGTTTCAAGATACCATGAAATATATAGCAAGTATTTGTTCCAGAGCAGAACCATATGGCATTTGTCGCATTGTTCCCCCTTCATCTTGGAAGCCCCCCTGTCCTCTTAAGGGGAAGACTATATGGGAGGGTTCTAAATTTGCTACTCGTGTTCAGAGGATTGATAAGCTTCAGAATCGTGGTTCAATGAGAAAAATGTCAAGGATTCATTTTAATACTAGACGGAAAAGGAAAAGATGCCCTAGAATGGGATTGGATAATGGCAGTAATAGAGGACCGAATGCAGGATTTTGTGAGATTGAAAGGCCCTTTGGATTTGAACCTGGTCCAGAATTTACTTTGGAAACATTTCAGAGATATGCAGATGAATTTAAGGCCAGATACTTCAGAAAGAATGAGAGTATATCTAATATGGGAGGTAACACAACAATGTCAAAAGGATGGGAGCCTTCTGTGGAGAACATAGAGGGTGAATATTGGCGAATGGTGGAGAGACCTACTGAAGAAATTGAGGTCACTTATAGTTTCAATATCTTGTTGTTTCATGCAATTGCTGCCTATTTTCTGTGTTCAACTGGTACCTATCCTTACCTTCCATTTTATATTCCCTATTAGGTGCTTTATGGAGCTGACCTGGAAACTGGGGTTTTTGGGAGTGGTTTTCCCAGAAAGCTTGGTGAAATTGGTTCTGATTCAGGCAAAGAATACATAAAGTGTGGCTGGAATTTAAATAACTTTGCTAGGCTTCCTGGATCTCTACTTTCATATGAAAGCAGCGATATATCTGGCGTCCTTGTGCCCTGGCTGTACATAGGAATGTGCTTTTCTTCCTTTTGTTGGGTAAGGGCAATTTCTCTCCCTCATTCATTTCCTGATTTGTTCACACAGTTCTTTCTTGTAATACGGGTAGTCTTATTCATATTTTTTTCTACCACTTGCATGATAAGGGGGATGATTATTTTCACCTTCTTCCGTTAACATGGGAGATTGTTTGTATAGCATGTGCCTGTGCATGCTATGTTTTGTGCGCCATGTGTGTGTAGCCTTTTAGTGTCTGTTCATGACCCTGTGAGGGAAGGGAGGCTGGACGTGGTGGTGATATGATTATTGAAATAGGGGATCGATATATTTGATAACTTGACTCTGATTTGTATAACATGCTACTCCAAAATGATTTTTCACATGTTCTATCTCCTTTATTCAACTTTTGTGGGTACATGTGTATGGGTGAAAGAAAGAGGCTACTAAGCTTGCATCTTTAGTTGTTGTGGCTGCTAATTCTTTTCATAATGGTTTAATTATTTGGTACAGCATGTGGAGGATCACCATTTATATTCATTGAATTACATGCATTGGGGTGCTCCAAAAATGTGGTATGGTGTCCCTGGCAAAGATGCCTGCAAATTGGAAGATGCAATGAGAAAGCGTTTACCGGACCTTTTTAAGGAACAACCTGATTTGCTTCATAAGCTGGTGAGTTATAGTTTTTTCCACACAAATGTAATTTGTTCTTGATGTTGTTGCACATGGAGTTCACTTATGTGGCTCTTGCTTCACATGCCATTCTTTTTAAGCGGTCTTGTTTGATTTGTCTTGAAGAGATAGGTAAGGGCGTGAAAATGCTCTTTTGGATTGCCACAGAGTAGCACCGAGTTGTGTTCATTCATGTTCTATCCTTTTCAGTTGCATTTCTGTCATTTCATATTTGTATTATTTTTTAGTTAACATAATAGCCATATTTATCCATCTATTTCTTGCAGGTCACTCAACTTTCTCCTTCTATCCTTAAGTCTGAAGGAGTTCCTGTCTATAGGTGTGTCCAGAACCCTGGAGAGTTTGTTCTGACATTCCCTCGAGCCTATCATTCTGGATTCAATTGTGGCTTCAACTGTGCAGAAGCTGTTAATGTAGCTCCAGTTGACTGGCTGCCCCATGGGCAGATTGCCATTGAGCTATACCGAGAACAAGGACGCAAGACTTCTATATCTCATGATAAACTGTTGCTTGGGGCTGCTAGGGAAGCAGTACGAGCACTGTGGGAGCTTAATCTGCTGAAGAAGAATACTTCAGATAATCTAGGATGGAAAAATGTCTGTGGAAAAGATGGTCTTCTGGCAAAAGCACTCAAGGTTAGTGCTATAATTAAGTACTATACCTACTTGGGAATGTTGATTTTTATTGATGAAAATTTTGTTCTAGAGAAAAGGGGGCTTGGAAAAAAGTGCGTTGTATTGAAGCTGCTGCCAACAAAAAAACTAGCAAAAAAAGATAAAGAAAGGGAAAAAATCAGACTACAATGAAGAGTTCCAGTTGGTTGATGGCCAGCTGACATCTAAACCAGGGACGGATGGACAGGAGGCAAGGACCCATAATTCATTGTCCCCCTCGCCCAACCAAAAAAATAAAAATAAAAGCAGCTCCTGTCCTAGATCCGTCACTGATCTAAACAGCATAATGGCAAAATGGACTCAAGTTCCCCAAAGTGATAACACTAATGAGAAATAGTATGAAATTTTGTTTGATGTGCCAAATATTCAAATTTTTTTTTTCCTTTGTTTTTTATCTTTTGTTTTCATATTTCAACATCATCTTTTAGGCATCTTTTTTGGAAAGTTCGCTAGGCACAAAAGTTCTACCTGTGTGGAGGTTATGGATTCACCCTTCCCATTGAAATTATGTCATCTAACTAACTTCACCTTCTGACTTTTCTATGTTGTCTTTCTTAGACACGCGTTGAGATGGAACAAGTAAGGAGGAAATTTCTCTGCAGTTCTTCACAGGCATTGAAAATGGAGAGCAGTTTTGATGCCACAAGTGAAAGGGAATGCAGTGTTTGCTATTTTGATTTACACTTATCTGCTGCTGGTTGCCATTGTTCCCCAGACCAATATTCTTGCCTGGATCATGCAAAGCAGTTCTGTTCATGTGCTTTGGATTCCAAATTCTTCCTCTTCCGTTATGATATTAATGAATTATTTATCCTTGTTGAGGCATTGGAAGGAAAGTTAAGTGCAGTATACAGATGGGCAAAATTAGATCTTGGGCTGGCACTGACTTCTTGTATGTCAAAAGACAAAAGCCACTGTAGCAACTTAATTCAGCCTTCCAAGGAAATAATGCTTCGCAAATTGAGGTTAGATTCTTCAGATCTGTCTGGTTCTTCTTGTGGCACTATGCTTAAAGAGATGGTATTGGATCCATCAGTTATTTCTATTGAAGACTCTCATTTGATAGATGTCCCAATAGAGAATCTGATGACTTCCACAAAAAGCATTGATCAGGGTTTTATAAAACCAAGAAAATCAGCAGAAGATGTGATTCCCTCAGGTCATTCAAAAGAACTGTCTACATCTAATGGCTGGACAACCTCATGTGAGCTGACTAGTCATGAGAGATATTCTGAGGAAGAATCAATTATTTGCAAAGCTACTGTGGCGAGCCCTGTTCATCAGTTGCCTGTAGGGGACACTTCATATTCCTTACCTCTTCTCCCCTTAGCTGAACATGGACCTAAGAAAACACCTTATGGGCACGATAATGTTATACTTCTTAGTGATGACGAAACTGATGAACCTAAGATGACAGAAATAGATATCAAGAAAGATATTTCTCGAAGGCTTATAGCTTCCTGTGATAAACTAAACCCATGTAATTATAGAGAAGATCCAGACAGGACTATCCCTGTCACTGATGCTGCTTTAAAGGCTGAGAATGACGTGCCTCAAGAAAGTATGAGTTCTCATTCAACTTATCATTTGCATGTGAAACAGGAACATGATATAATTCAGGGAGCAGTTTTAGATTCTACTCCAGTAGATTTTTCCTGCAAAATAGGTCATGGTAGTGCAGAATCAGTCAGACAAATTCAGGCCTCCTCAACAGGAGAGAGTAGAGATCATTGTCTGAATTCTTCTGAGAGTTGTCCTCTGAACCCACAGCATTCTGGGACTCTCAAACCTAAGAATGAGGACAGCCATGAGAAGATTGGAGTATGCAGTGCAGATAATGCTAGAGCTGTTAATGGAAACCTGTCTTGCAGTCCAAACAATTTGGGAAGATACTATCGGCAGAAAGGTCCTCGTATCGCAAAGGTTGTCCGGCGTATCAACTGCAATGTCGAGCCTCTAGAATTTGGAATTGTTTTTTCTGGAAAGTCATGGTGCAACAGTCGGACTATATTTCCAAAGGGTATCTGAATGCTTGGTTTATAATTAATTGCTTCTTCCCTAAGTTTTTGACTGTACATTTGGTTAATGCAAATTCAATTAATTGATGCAGGATTTAGAAGCCGTGTAAGATACATAAATGTCTTAGATCCAACAAGTATGTGTTATTATATTTCAGAAATTCTTGATGCTGGACGTGATGGGCCTCTGTTTATGGTACTTCAACCGTCTTATTTTTATTATTTGATTTTGGGAAAATTAATGATTTGGTTCTTGTAGTTTTGATTATGTTGTAACTCATCCCTTATAGTTTTATATAACTCAGTTTCTGAACTTTGTCTCCTACAAATCAGTTCTTATAATTTTAACCATTTAAATATCATTTCCTATTTTTTTAAAAATAAAATTGCAAAGATTAAAAATATTTTAAACTTTTAATATTTATAAAGATTAAAAGGGTTTGGTAACTTAAAATATTAGTCATCAATTTTAACGTAATTTTAGTCTTTATAATTTTTTTTTAAGATATAGGGATCAATATTTAAATGATTAAAAATATAAGAACCGAGTGCAGGAGTCAAAGTTCAGGGATTGAATTACAATTGACTGAAAATTTGAGAGATTGAATTACAACTGAGTTAAAATTATAAGAATTAAATGGCTAATTTTACCTTTGATTTTTTACTTTTAGTCACAGTAACAGAATATTTATTTTTGTCATCATCTAAACGTATACTTGATGCATATCTTCTGATGCTTTTGGAGTTTAAAATCCTCTCACAATGATCTTGCTGAGTTCTGCCATTGATTATATGAGCAAAAGTTTTGGTGAAAACTGAATAGCTGTTCAGGCACATCATGAGATTTGTGACCAGGATTAGGTTAAGTGTATTACAAACTACTGTGTAATTAGAGAATTTATTGGATGTCAACGTCAGTGCCTTACCATTAGTTTAACATGAGCAGTTAGCCTTCACTTTCTTATTCCTTTAACTAGATAGCAGAGCAATTAATGCTTTTTTCCTACGAAGTTCAGTTTTATAGAATTTATTACTCTTTAGTTTTACGTGTTTCACAGACTATTTGTGCCATTTACTTAATCGTTTGAAAAGTATATTGCAAAAGCATGGGCTCCCTGGGATTCTGATTTTAGAATTAGTTTCATAAATAAATTTTAGTTTGCTTTGAAGATTTAATTTGGATGATGAACTGGATGCCAAATTGCGATTCAGTGGGATTGCGTTAAAGAAATCACACCCTTGTTTTTCTCCCTCAGGTGTCCTTGGAACATCATCCAAGTGAGGTCTTCATTCATCTTTCTGCCGGTAGATGCTGGGAACTGGTAAGAGAGAGAGTAAATCAGGAGATCACAAAGCAACATAAGTTGGGAAGAAAAGACCTCCCTCCTTTGCAGCCACGTGGAAGCATTGATGGCTTTGAAATGTTTGGGTTTTCCTCGCCGGCAATAGTGCAGGTAATTTTTCTGTGGGAAAACTGATTTATAATCTATAAATTAATAAATTGCTCCAAGTAGACTTGGGCGAAAGGTCAATTTTAATTTCATTCCATTTCTTGCTTTCTGCTAACTTACAAGCAAAGCTATATGACAATGGTTGTGAATTCTCTTTTGGGTCAATTCTGGGATCTTATCATGTTTATAGATAATATGTTGAGAGTTCTTTGCATGATTGCAATCCTTTCCCCCTTAATGTACAAAAATATATTCAACTTAATGCCATATTTCCTTTCATTTGCCTATGGCTTTATTTTATTTATCTTTAACTTTCACGAGGAATGCTTTCTTTTTTTAGGCAAATTGAAACATTTTGACATTTGTTTTGTAATTTTTTGGTCAGTTACGTTAATGGGGATAAAAGAAATCAAATCATTTTTAGTGCTTTTGATCTTTCAAGCCAGCTTTTCCGCTGGAAGCTTCTTTGCTTTTAATCACACCCATGTTGGTCATTTTGATGCTTCATTAGACTCTGCTTCCTCTGACACGGATTTGATGCATCTCCCTCCTTTCCCCAGGCTATCGAGGCATTGGATCAAACTCGTGTCTCTGAGGAATATTGGGATTCGCGGCCCTATTCACGGCCTCTAGGGCAAATTCAGCAAACTTCACAGCCAAAGGAAAATGGTGGAAGTGTGGATAGGTCAAATTTTCAAGGGGACCACGGGAGTGAGGTCATGCCTATTGGAATCGATGCAGTATTAAGGAGCCTGTTGAAAAAAGTCAATGCCCAAGAGCTGAACTCATTGTGCAGCATTATTTGTGACAATAACAATACTGCAGCTGGCGGCAGCCTAATTGTTCGACTTCTCAATGAAGAGATCAGCAGTCGTGCCAGATGATTCATCATCTGCACATGACTGCGCTTAAAATTACTCCATGTAAATTCTTGTTTCTGCTTTCAGTCTGCACGTGGGATCACCATGCGACCTGTTCTTTCTCTTTTTTTTTTCTTTTTTTTTTTGGGACGCCCTGATGGAGGATAGAGGAGGAAAAAAGAATTTTAAAGCAGCCGACGAAAAAGACCAAGGAGATAGTGAAAAAAACAGAAAATACGTTTTAACCTTTGGATTTTATTTTATTTTTAAAGAAAGGCAGCTGGGTGGGGTGAATATCACTGTGGACACCTCTGGTATAATATCTATATACGAAGATCTGAGAGGAGTGCTGTTCTTGTAGTTTTCTATTCCCTCTGTTGTGTATTATAGTGGGCAAAACGATGTTAGGTTAGAGTTTATTGGCATTCATTCATGTCGGGAGATGTTAACTGTGCTTTTGTTGTTAGCGTAACATTAGTTTGTTCTCGAGGGAGAGATTTTATTTACAAGGTCTTACATAGCAAAAGTGAGGAGCAATAAATAGCGTAGGAAGGGGCCCATTTCTTTTTCTCAGAAGAATGTATAATGTATCATACCACGGAGTACCCAGATGTTTTCCCTGACCATAATCTTCGTCTCGTGCTCAGTGCCTGTAATTTCCCCACCCGATACTATTTTGTTTCGTAGAAGTGAACTCCGTTGTGAACTGCTCTGGGATGAAATTTTGCGTAGAAATGTACGCACAAATGGTGGCACAAGCTTTGTCCACGCAAGTCAAACTGTGGAGCAGGGCAGTAATTTTGAAATTATGAAAATCGATAGGTTTTTTGAAAGTGGTGCAGGGCAGTAACTTCCAAGAGGGATGATAATATTGGCGAGACAGGAAATTGTAGAAGAAGAAAGAAAAAGTGGTCCCAGGGTGGTGAATGATGATGGCCAGAAATGGTAAAAGAGGAAAGGGCCAAAGATGGAAAAAGCAAGGAGGGGCAGAAGCTGAAGGTGGTGGCGAGCGCTACCTTAAACTGGCAATGGCATCAACAGAGGCACATCCAAACCCAAACGAATGAGGAAGATGCCGCTGCTGTTGCCGACATTCAGTACAAATCTGCACGTGAGACCACGTGTCGCCCTCCACTTCACCGTAGATTGCGGGATTTCTGTACGGTCTTCGGCTCTCGAGCCTTTTCCATGCCCCTTCTCTCCCTCAGCAGCTTCTTCCTCTTTCTGCTTATTTTTGGTTCGCTGCCCCATCATTTATCGCCTTTTTGACTTCCATCTATCTCTCCACGCTAAAAACACTGTTTACATATATTCTTATGTTTTGCGCCTTTTTATCCATAGGGCTTTATCCCCATTTTTCCTTATTACTCATGTGAAAGAAATAGGAAAGAAATAGATTGTATATATCCGGCTGATTATGATGACGAGTGGGAGTTAAATCAGCATAATTATAAGGAATAACCTAATTAATCGCCTATGGAATATGGATGTCGTTTCTGCCTCGGATTTGTCACTCCACGTTGATTGCTTTTAATGCTTCATTCTCTTCTCTCCGTCTCATTCGACAGTTCAAATGTGGGTAATGTGGATTCAGCACGCTCACTGGATGTGTCTGTTTTTATATAAGTGTGCTATACTATATTAAACAAAGCAAAAATAAGTGCTCATTTTTTAAAAGGGAACATGTGGAAGAACGCTTCCAGAATCCTACTGCCATTACTCTCTCTCTCTCTCTCTCTCTCTCTTCCCCCCTTCACAGACCGACGTACTGCAAATCAACAAATAAGTGCATGCTTGAGTGATCCTGGATGTGCTTGTGAGCGCTCTCAAGTCTCAACTGGTTACTTTTTTTTTTTTTTTGTTAAATCCTTGAATTCCCTTCAATTTCTGTTGCCCTCGTATTTTTTAGTTTGCATATCGCCGTCGTATTCAAATTAAATTTCTTTGTTTCAGTAAAAGGGCAAAAGAGCTTGAGAGGTACAAACGTTACATAAAGCAGCTAAAAGAAAAGGCAAAACGCCTAAACGCCTAGTATCTGCCGCATGTCATCCTGAACAAATCCCACGCAATTTGTTGAGGTGTGTTTGGATTTTAATTGATAAAAATTAATTACAGAAAAAAATGATTAACAAAACGTGATGTTTGGATAATTTTTTTTAAATTGATTTTAATAATTGAAGATATTTAAATAATTTTTCAAAATTAATTATAAAGATGAGAGAAAATGAAAAATTTCTGGATGTTAAGAATTGATTCTCAAGTGAAGAAAAAAAATAACTTATTCAAAATGAGGTTTCACAAGCCAAATAATTTTTTATAAAATTGAGGGTATTTAGATAATTTTTTTGTAAAATCATGATTTTGATCCTTTAATTGATTCCAAATGGGAACCCAATTAGCCCCTAGGAATTGTGGGTAACGTGTTTCATCAATTTTTTTTTTTAAATTCCACGTGACAGGGGGCTATTCATTCTTTGCCAAAAAATTTTAGTTTGCATATTGATTCTATCAGTGTAGGCCTTCACGTATTTCTTTTACCAATGTTTACTCGTCTTGCACCAATGGATTTTGCGAACAACAGAGTGCATTAAAAAGCCACATAATGTCTTGTCTAGAACGATCTGAATCCTTTACAGACGTCAATATATTACGTTTTCTTTAGTTTTCGTCTCATCCCACAAGTCTTATGATAATCATTCTTCCGTGTCTCTTTTTCTTTCATCAAGATATGCTATTCTAGTGCGTGCGTGTGTGTGTGATTTTTGAGCTTGTCAAAGGTTCATTTTTTTTTTAAGGTACTTTTGCCAGACTAAAATGCCAGAAGTAATCCTGGTCGCGTTTCGAAAACGAAATTTCAACATCTAAAAACTTGTTTGTGAAATGGACTTATCATTTTAAAAAAAAAAAAACCCAAAAAATATTTACCAAAAGCTTGTTTCACAAAAGGACTTTTGGACTCTCAAAAATGCAAACCAAACATGCTTTTATTTAATTTAAAAGATTTGCGTTTGAGGGATGCAATTTTACAGTCCTAGACAATTGTAAGATAAATATGATAACTTGTGTGATATGCAATAGACCATCAAAACCCATTTACATAAAATACATACCCATAATTAAAGCAGGAAATTCATACTTATCCCCTAATCAATGCTATTAATAATGTGTCAGTCATGGAAATATTTGAGATGACGAGTAATTAAACATCAGAAAGAGAAAAATGAACAAACACTACTCTTGGTAATTTTTGAAAGTTGAAACAATTATTTAATAGGATATGATGACTTGAGTTAAAGATTAGTACTTTTACATGTTTAAAATGTTTAATGAAAGTTTCAATGATATATCTTTAATGTAACTAAAAAATATTTTATTAATTGTAAATAGGTTTAATTTTCAACCCAAAAACAATTGATATCAACTTCTTTCCTATATAAAATGCAATCCAAAGGCTTCTTTTCCTTATATATAGAAAAGCTTTATTTTTTCACTGGCTCAATTTAATGTGTCCACAATTAATAAAGCGCCTCATTTTTTGAGTTGTGGTAGACACGTAGCAAATAAATTTACATCAGACATTCACAATCCCGTTTTCCCCTTCATGGTCAAATGATTTCTGACCCAAAAAAATAAAAATAAAAATGAGACGGTTAATTTTCCCCCAGTACTTCACTCCTATCTGTGCTTCATTATGTGATTATTGAATATTGATGTGCGAATACTCGTGATGAAAATTACTCTCTGATATTAAGTGTAAGAGTTGAATAAAGAGTTTATTTTAGCCTTAAATGTAAGGCTTTAAATTCACTCTCCCTCATCTTCCATATTTATCAGTTTCCCCAAATTACTCCTTTCGATGAATGATGAGTACTCCTAATTTTTAATATAAATGATTTTAAAAAGTTGATTTTGGAAACCATCACAATTTTTTTATCAGTAATTAACTTAACTAATTTATTGGATTTGTACGAATTTGTTATTGAGCTCCTATACTTAGAATGAAAGGGAGTAATCAATTTTCTGTCTCCAATTTTTCTTACTGCAAATGAAAGAACCTCTCAGTCTCACGTATCAAATACTCCTCTGATCTTATTTATGGAATAGAGAGAGAAAAAAATTGATCCTATTTAATAGGGTACTTGTTAATTCCTAATGTTCCTCTCTACATTTTTACCTTTATTAAATATTTTGAATAAAAATATCAATAATGAGTTTTAAGAATATTTATTAGAGGTAAAAGTAAAAACTTATTAAATTTTAAAATAAAATTAATGAGATTTAAGTTTTTGCTTAATTCAAGTGAAATATGCTGAAAGTCACTTATAAATAGAATCAAAATGAGTACTCTTTTAGTCTTCTTTATATATCAGAGATAGTATTCATTTTGATATTATTTATAGGAAAACTTAATAATTATTGTGACTATCTTGATCATTTTACTCTTATTAAATGTTTCAAATGTTATTAAATGCTAGAGTATTTTATTTTAAAGTATATATATTTAAGAGGCTTTTGCATATATAACTTATGTTATAAGATCAAATCAAGCAAATAACCTAACATTTATTATACTTTGCATTATGGCTTATTTATTATATTTGTCAATGATATACTGTTATATATTAATAATAAATTATGTGTAAATTTTTAATAATAAACTCTTTATATATTAATGATAAGCCTTTTATATTTATTAATAATAAACCCTTCGTATATTAATGTAAACAGACTACACTCTCAAATTTTTAAAAAGTTAGTCCATATTTTTTGGATACAAATATTTTTTTTTGGCTAATGTGCCAATTTATCCTATGTTTATTTAATAGGAGTAAATTAAAAAAAATTAGACAGAGTTAATAAAATTTAAAATTTTATTTAATTAATTTTGATAAAAAATAGTAAAAGTGACATATAAATATGATTGGAGAAAGTAAGCTAGATTTCTTAAAAAATGGAACATCTTATTCGCTGTCAATCTTCTATTGAGTTTCTGAATTTAGCTTGTTTTTAATTTGACGTAGAATCATATCAAGTTTGAATGTGTGGCTGTGTGGTTACCCAGATTAAGAACATGATTGCCGGTAGATTCGAAGTAAATGTGTCCCCAATAAGATCAATTAGATATTCAACTTATTAATCGCACTTCGATGTTAGGCAACGCAACATAGTTTATTATATGTAATACAAACAAGAAACAACCTCCTCTCACTCACCGTCTCCTCTATCAACACATCAAAGTCATGTGACGCTATCTCGAGATGAATATGTAGCAAGCCGTTTAATACCTGAAGCTATTTATTCTAATTCAATTACAAGACTGAAGCTTCGTACATCATATGAAGTCTAAGTCATCGATTTCAACGAGAGATGAGCTTCGTGTACATTAATTATTGCCCAGAGTGAACTGACGTTGTTGATAATATATGAATTGTTGTTCATGATGAGTAAACCCAGGTCCCCCTACACATGATAATTTAGCTTCCATAAAGGGGACGGCGGAAAGATTCTTTGGATGGAAAATAAATAAATACCAGCAGACGTAAGGTTTATAAGACGGAGAAGATATTTGCAAAAATGCAATTTGGTATATGCTTATTTAAATTATTCCGAAAATCTTTGTTTTCGGTATAATTTCTGGGGAAAAGCACTCACTTCATTTACTTCAATCCTACTAACCGATGTAATCTAAAATCCACAAAATTTACCCCTCCACTTTTAGTACATCTACTTGAAAACAAATAATTCACTTTCAATATGAAATATATATATATATATATACACACACACATGCGCGCGCAGTTTCATGCATGTACAATGAAAGAGATGTAGCATGGATTAATTACTTAAACTTAAAGACCGTCATTTATAATAGACAATTTATAAACAAGTAACAAAAGATTCAACGAAAAGCTACATAATAAGCAGCATTGGCTAATCAAAATGTGCGTCGCGTCTGCAAATTATGAGATCCGCGTATTTTATTAAAAAAAAAAAAAAAACTTCTGGCTTGCTCTTTTAGTTTCAAAGTACATGGTAACCATCAAACAAATAGGCTGGCTGACTTACAAAGGATGATGTTACATATTTTTCCCTTTAATTTCTTAGCAATGATCCACAAATAATGTGCCTGATGAGTCAAATAAAGCTCAAAGATATTACCAAAAAATTTAAAAGGGAAAAAAATAAACTCAAAAGACAAATCGAAGTTAACTAGAAGAAACATCTGACACATCCCCGCTCTTTCAAGGATTCTAACATCCCACAGTTACGTCGAATGAGTCATCAAGATTTCATGAATAGCCTGATCTCAGTGGAAATCAAGCCTTGCAGAAAATGTTGGTGAGTGTGACTGCCAAACAAAAAATTCCTAATTCTGATTCCAGAAACTCCTGAATGTATAATTACAAAAAGACAAAAGCATAAATCAAGATATGCAACCCACTTTTCTTCTGCTTTTGATACGACTGTGATCGTCACAATTAGAATCACAAAAAGTGGCCCTAACCATCATGATTAGCTGTGCTCCTTAAAGCTTAATAAAATAACGAGTTTCTCCAAGTCTACCAAAACAAGCTACTATGCTGAAATGAACAAAGGGCTCCTCTTTTTAACCCAGGATGACCAGACCAGGAGATATTCCCAGCCTCTTTCGTACGGCAACGATATAGAAATAGCATTTCATCCTAGCTATACTGTGGCTTCCCTTGATTGCTTACACTTGAAAAATTATTCTTCGATAATAAATCAGTGTTCATTCACTTTCGACATGTCCATTTATAGCTGGCATCTATAAATAATACACCAGGTAATCTAAGTTTTTGTCCTTTTGTCTAACACAGATTTGCCCGAGATCATCTTTAATCGGAACTATACCTAACCAGATTTTACCAATGCTTGCAATATTAGCCTCGTGAGTTTTCCATTAGCCATCCAATGCTTATTTACCTAGCTAACCCGTACTATTTTCTCTCTCGGCTGTATCATATCCTGTTTTGATATGTATACGATACGCCGGCAGTTCCGATCGACAAGCTTTTCTTCCTTCTGAATGTGAATGGTTCCAGCACTACACCTACAAACGCGCGCATGAAGGGGCCAATATAAAATGAAACATTAATTCGCTAGAAACTAAAAACATCTTCGCTAACTAGCTAGTTAATGCGCAGGAAATGGAAATATATAATATATGTTGGAAGACATGGAAACAGATCCATGGAGAATTTTACTGATTTGCAGCAGCCGCTGCAATATCAATTACACAGAGAGAGACTCGAGTGCACGTGTCTTTCAAATACACTACATGTGTGCCGATAACATTTAATTGGGAACAAATCATCAATCAGAGATGATCATTTCTCGGACTACTCGCGAACAAAAGCATTTCAGTGGCCAAGTCTTTGCGAGACATAATAAAGTAAACACCTTAAAATTGCGCACCGCAAAACATGATCGGGAAAGATATATATTACAGGATACGTACGAAGAGCAGTGAGCGGATTCCTCTTGCGTTGCTGTCGTTTTTTTTGGCATTTTATTCAGAAGAATCAATCATCTTGATTAAGTGGTGGCACTAGCAGCATCGGCAGCGATGTTCGGCTTGGGCTTAGGTCGCTTCCGCTTCTTGTCGTAGCTGACGCCCCTGGACTTGGCCTGAAAATCACGAACCTCGCGCAAATAAAGCCTGACGGGACGGGCGGCGAAGGGATTGGAGTCGGGGACACCCCCGTTCTCCTCGTAGGCGGCGCGGAGGCGGCCGATGAGGGCGTCGAGACTGCCCCAGGCCTGGCGGAGAGGGCAGGGGCAGGGAGCCGGAGGGTTGGGGAGGCCGAAGAAAGGGCAGCCGGGGACGTGGACCTTGGTCTTGCCGAACTGATCAAGGTACCTGAGGAAGTCCAGCACCTGGGTGCCACCGCACATCCCCACGGGCACCGGCGGCATCTGGTTCCTCAGGTACTGGCAGAAGGTGTTCCAGTCCCTCCTTTTCTGGTTCTCGTAGCGGCTCCCGGACGCGGTCACCCGGGCCTCGCTCTCACACCCGGCCTTGGAAGATTCCGACGAAACCAAATCCATGTACCCTCTCGGTTGGATTCGTTAGATCTCTTGACCAGCAGGGGGGGGTTCTAGGGTTTATGGAGATGGCAATGTTATTGTGTAATATGAAAAGAGAGATGAAAGGGAATATCATGCAGCGACTGGAGAAGAGGGGGAAGAGACTAAAGGGAAAGGAGCAGCGTGGAAGGAAAAAACGGAGGAAGCAGCATAGTGTCCGTAGGAGAAAGGGGTGAGAGGGAGGGAGAGGGGGGGGGGGGAAGACGAAAAGCGCAAGCAACTGAGAGTTAAATAGTACCCGGGGGGGGGATGGGGGAAGAGTGAAGTGGCCAGGAGATCAAGGGAGGGGCGAGGAGGGAGGACCGAGGGTTAATTCGTAGAGGTGAAGAGGGGAATAGTAGGTGCCCTCCCCAGCACTGACTTTGGCAGTGAGCAGCCATGATGGTGACCAAAGATGGCCTCCTCTCACTGCTCTTCCAGGCGCGTCCCCACCCACGCCCTCACACGTGCCGTTACTCTCCCCCTCCCCCACCCAATTGGGAGACACCAAGACATTGGTCGTTAGTGTAAGATGGCACATACAACACAACGAGGGTGTGGTGCTGGTGCAGTTACGAGAGAGGGGAGAGAGAGAGAGAGAGACGTAAAAGAGAAAATTGTCCCCGGAGCGGGGGGAAGTTTTGAGTTCCAGTTCGAGTAAGGAAGGCGTTCCTTGGAATCTCCACAAATAGGGGCTGCAGCTGCACTGTGCGCCTTCTCACTCACTCGGACTTGCCTCCCATCCTCTCCCACTCTCCGTGTTCCAATTACGGCAAATGCATCCCCCTGTCTCGCCTCCTTCCCACAATTTCTTCCATCTCTGGAGTGCACTAATTACGTCCATGCCATTCTCCTCATGCCGCTGTTTCCACCACCACCACCACCACCACCACCACCACCACCACCACCACCACCACCACCACCACCACCAAATGACCCCGCTTCTGTGAATATCCTAAGGAATCTTGGCTGCAATTAAACACGCTCCTCTTCCGTATTTTGTAGCTCATGGCCATGCTTCTACTTTATGCGTATACAGATTTTATATTTTTTTTTTTTAATTTCCCATGCATGTCATTCTGTCGAAAACAATTTTATTCAGGACATAATTTGGCACTATACGTGACGCCTCTTTTAGGAACAAAAATTCAAACTTAGTTCATTACATTGTGAGGTGCCAATTCCTCTCACTAAGAACTAATTCTTGTCAGTAAATTTTGCATGCTTTATATTTTAAGCTGATGATGATGATGGTGTGTGTGTGTGTGTGTGTGTGTGTGAACGCACAAGATGATAAATTTTGCTTGCGGCGAGGGTCCGTCCCAGGCGCAGATGGCCCAGACCCCATCGTTCTGGGGATGGGTGTGGCCCATGAATGCGGCGCGGCGCCTTCTGGTTTTTTAGCCCAAACGAGAAACAGTGGCTTCTTTGATTGACGCGTGACTATGTGCATGTGGGAAAACAGAGCGTTGAATGACTTCAAATAATGGTCTTCCTCTCGATTCCAATTTGCTCCTTCTGTTCTGTCATTAGACTTAATCATCGCTTCACATGCTTTTTAAAATCAAGTAGCAAAAAACGGGACAAGATAAAAGGCAATGAAAACAGGAAGGAAGGAGCATAAAAAATGCCATTACTCAACCCAAGATGCTGTGCATATCTAGTGTAGAAATATATGTAGTTATTTGTCTGCACAGGTCGTGGCGGACAAAAGTGAGGCATCTGTTGGGATGGCTCTCCGCGGCAAAGCAAGAGGTGCCGCAGCACAAAGGATGCGAAGCTGTCTCATGACTCGTGCCGCCACTCTATGAGAGGGGTCTTTCCTTTTTTTTTTCCCTCCATTTTTCTTTACTTCCTCCATCTCCACCATTCAAATTATTTTATTAAATAATTTTTTTAAATGATAAAATTAATGAATGGTGGGGATGGAGGAAGTGAAGGGAAATGGAGAGAAAAGAAGTGGAAAGACTCCTCTTTTTCACTCCTCCTAAGTCAGCTTCTTACAGTAACAACTAACAACATGCATCACTGCTGTGCTATTAATACCTCAACTCAAGTAGGGTTCCTTAATCCTTATTGTCATTCACAGACCTTGCTGTTTCAAGTACCCATCTCTCCACCGCCAAATCTATTGTGCTCTTCTCCTCCTATTTAGTAGCTATGTGTTTTATCCAAATCAAGTAAAATTTTAATACTCATTAACTCTATTCAAAAAATTGATAAATTCTTAATTTTGTTTCTATTAAATATACATATATTAACAATACATTTTTTTTCTCCCACATTCAATGAAAGATAAAGAGAAATTTTTGTAATAAAAATTTAATGATATTATTTATAAATAGGGCAAAATATTCCCACTCTATTCTATAAATAAAATCAAGAGTATAGTACTTCTCTAATTTTTAATGTAAGATAAATTTTCAAATTTCTTTAATGCAAATCAAAGTTAAAGTAATCAATATCTTTTAAACTTCCGTTTTAATTATTATCATTTAAATCTTTAGAAAATTTATTATGATTATTAATTAAAAAAAGATCAAATTATTTGTTTAACAATTATAAGGATGTAACTTCTATTTTGAACAAGTCTGAGATTAGTTAAGTTAGCTTGTCAAGGTATTGGAAGGAATGGTCATTAATTAAGATAAAATTAAGTTTGTTTTATACTATGCTTTTCTTTAAATTTACACCATCCATGTTACGACTAGCGTCATCCCCGCACATTGCACAAACGAGAAGTTAGTCAGTTAAAGGAACTCAAATGAATGAAAGAAGCTTTTATACTGTTCCTATTTAATGTTTTTCTTTCAAATAAACGCCGGCTATAACATAAAATTATAATTTAATTGATTTTAGAAATAAAATTTTAACTTATAAACGAAATTAAAAAAATTAAATCCAAATCATTTAAAGAGAATTTATACAATCCAAATTACACATCAAAGATGAGCATAAATAAGGACTGGACTTTAACAGTAATACCCACACCCAAAAAACACTCCAGTGGTCAATTTCTGAAAGCTGAAGGCTCTGTGATAAATAAACAAGTAAAGTTAGACGCTTATTAATACTGCAATTGGGAGGAGGATATGAAATGAAATAACCGTCCATTTTTTGAATAAGCGCGTGTTCGTCATTTCCTTGGACCAACGCCCGAAACCAATATCCGTGTCACACAGAAGAACCGTAGAGATTTGAAGAACGGTCGGGACTTGGGGTCAAGACCAAGTAACATCACATGAATTATCGAAGAAAATGGATACAATCAAACAACAATAGCAAAATTGAAACCAACATTGCTAATACCATCCATGGATATGGAATCTCGACCTCAACTCACAAAATTTGAGAGTGAAACACTACGATAGAATACACCTCTTCATAGAGCAAAAATCAAGCAAAGCAAAACGTACACAACAGAAACGAACATGGTATCTCCTATTCTCAATGATGACTCGCTGCGCGCTGCCTTGAGGTTCACAGAAGTTCCCCTATCTATAAAATGATGCCATGATGTAAAGCATGACTGCCGATGAAGTGGTGATTATCAACTCCTGCGAATGCGAATCCCATTAAAAAAAATTACCATGTTGAATAGCAAATCACATATAAAAAGCCCAAAAAAAATGTCGTGCAGCAAATCCAAAAAAGCAATATACATAAATATATATATATATATATATATATATCATGTCAGCTTATACAACGCTGCATAGGATAAAAAGACGATTTTGACCTGATCAAAGCATTTTAGCACGCACAAGTACTTGGAAATTTGAAATATTCCTTTAAACTATAAGCGAGAAAGCCACTATGATGTTGATTTCCAAAAAGTACTATGAATAGGCCCATTGCTTGTCGTCAACTGCACCATTCAAGAACAACTTATTGGAGGCACGCACTAGCTGGCACCCTGACGAATTCACATATTGAATAATAATGCTCATGTAACCAAGAATTTAGTTTATCTCACGACCACTATCATTCATTTCTTTGCTGCATGGACAAATAAAAAATAAAACCCAGGACATGCAACCACACAAGACAAGAGGAAACAAGTCCCAAAGTACGTCAAACTGCAAGACTTCCATCATATTATTCACTGAACCAGGATGGGCGATAGTTTTATCGCCTATAGTTTAAGCCAATAACATTTGATTTATACCTGACTGTTGTAAAGTAAAGCAGGTATATAGCCACCTGAGAACTCAATGAAGTTCAAAAGACCAGTGTATGCCTGCAACAAACGCACAACAGAGTGTTGACTTTTTTCTGGATATGGTATATGAAGAAAAATGATTGACTGTATTAAAAAGAAAAAGAAAAAAGAAAAATAATTGAAGCATATTGAGATCGAAACAATGAAGAAAGCCAGGAACTAGATAAATATTTGATTGTTTAAGTTGGTAGCTGAGATTCAAAACTATTCAACATATAATTTAAAATATCTGGAATTTCCCATCAAAAATGAAATCAGCCAACGTTGGCCAAAGATGAATTTTAATTTTACGATGATATGATAATTGACCTCTGAACTTAACTCTGTCACCCACAAGGTTATTTAAATGTCATACCAAAGAGGAAACAGCTATACAGCCAAAAACCAAAGCCAGTGATCGGAGTAATCGTTTTCCCATTCGCAGCCCTTCGCCTGTATCCTCACCATCTTCCTGTAGCCAAAGTCAACTTAGATTGACATAGCAGTGTGGTGCAAAACCAAATAATATTAAATATACTGAATGCTATCATGGAAAATGAAGCTCACATTATATGTTGGGGTAACAGGTGGTTCAAAGGATTTTAACTTTTCAAAAAGTCGATAAACAAAAGCAAATGCCAAAAACTGCAAAGGTTTGTATTCTGCATTACGCCTGACAAGGACCCAAGTTGTCTGCAGGGTAATGGGTAAAAACGACAATTAAATTTTACTGTACAAATACCAAGAAATAAAAGATTGCTGTTTCAGAACATTGTCGTTCGCCAAAACAATTCTTCATTTGAACACTCACAAAAACAGCAGATATGGCAAGGTTGATATGCATATCATTTTTACTCGATTTGGAAAACCTGAAACACCATTGGAAGTCAGCATATCATAAAAAGGCTACAAGTTGTTGATAATGAAGCAGTAATCGAAGTAGTAAAGGAAACAGCAATCTAAAGTAGATATAGAACACCACAAAAAGCACATTAGAATATGGCCTAAAAGAAAACATTATGTATTCATATAAAAATGCAAAACGAATTGCTGGAAAACATTATGTCTACTGCTAGAGAAAATTGACCTTAAAGCAAATGGAATTTAGCGACTATCTCAAGGCAAAGACATTCTTCTCGAAGAATTCACATATTTTGAATAATCAGATCACATCATATAAAAGATTCTTTTTTTTTTAATTCATGAAGGAAAAGAGGGTGTTTTTTTTTGGGGGGGGGGGTGGGGGGCACCAGAAGTAGATGGTTTAGTTAACTAGGCTTGACTTAATTTCGACCCAATTCTGGGAAAGGGGAAGGGGGATTACTATGCAAACAACCCTCAAGCATGTGTCTGCATAGCAGCCATGTGATGGGTCAAGCCACCACATGGACCTCCATGAGGTATAGCAACCTAGAGAAGTTAAATATCAAAGAAACCATTAATGTCAAGTTACAAAGTTTGTAATTCTACTAAAGCTAATACAACAAACAATAATACCCAGCTATGGCAACAAAACTACAAGCCATGAAACAAAACAGTAATATTGAACCTTGGACCCCAAGGCACAATTGGCTGCTTGTCAGCATACTTTATGTCCTTAGAAACCTGCATTTTTATATAGGTTATATAAGCTGTCAGATGCAAACAGATTCTTGAATAAAAAGTATCATAGCCTCTTCATGTTTGCATGAACAATTTAGTGCATAGGTAAAAAAACAACCCTACTGTACCTTGAACGAACCAAAAGCCACGCCCTTCTTTCGATTAGTTAATTGCGCCATCATCACTCTATCATATGCCTTTTCTAGCTGAAAAATATAATAAAACAATACACAAGATATCATAAGTGAGAGCATTAAACTGCAGATAGCCATATCACAAAATGCCATGACATAAGCAACCCCCCCCCCCAAAAAAAAAAAACAAAGAAAGGGTGGAAAGTCCCTTCCTACCCCTATTGTCTATTACTTTTAATTTAATTTCCAAATATCAATACAATAAATTAATCACCAAAACATGAAATAAACTTGAATAACAGGATGTCCTACTTCCAGTTCCTAGAAATATAACTTTGCAGTACAGCTTTTAATTGATTATCATCTTTAAAACATAGGTGGTGGGGGAGAGTAACTTACTCTGGCAGCAGTTTCTTCATCACCAATCCTTTCAGCCTCCTTTCGTTTTTTCGTATATGCTGCCTTGATCATGTCAAATCCCTCGATAGGGCTAACACCTAGGACCTAACAGACGACATCCTACTGACAGTTGAGATGCATGATTAGCCATATGGACCAACAAACTGCACGCAGACTGATTTTTACCTCATATGGATTTAAGTCACTGCCTGAATTAGAACTCCCTGCTGCAGATGCAGCAGCGCATATAAGCCTTCTACCACTCCACACATCTATTTTTGAGAACCTGAAAATCCAAATTAATTGCAACGTTAGGGGTTGCAGTCGTATTTATGAAGAAAGATTCATCCCTCGACACCCAGCACCATAGTTCCAGGCACAAGACTGGGCCAAATTAACAACGAACTTTGTAAGAAAAAGGTATAATCTACAAACAGCGATGATTTTAACACCTTCGAAGATATTATTTATTCTACTCCTATCACAATAGGTGACAAGGTGTTTACGTGCTACATGCCTTGAGCCCAGTAGTTCCTGTGTGTAAATGACAAGCATGGGTTGGTTGCAAGACAATTCAAAATTCATGTATCAGCTCAATCAGATTAATCAGCCAAAACTGCCCGAGTTTAGTAAATCTAACGGTAAGCTACAAAGTTGTAACAGAATAAAGAAGCCAGATTGCTAGGGGGGAACTACAGTCATTGATGGTGGCAAATATCTGGGAATGGGGGAGACCACTTATGGAGGAGTTTACCTGACAAAAGATAAAGATGTCTCTGAGACTTTGGGCCGAAAATTCCTCTGGGAAAGCCGCAAATTAGGGCATTGCAATAAATTTGACATGGCTAGTGCCATTGAACGGTGCTCTGATGAATTGAAGAAGCTATGATTTTGAAACGAAGGGTTTTATGGAGTTTTATCTTCAAAACAGTACGCGGACGAGCTGAAATTAACCTTCGACTTGGGAGCTAATCTCCAGACTCCCTTGAGCCTGATTCCGACATGCCGCCCTCTCCTTAGCATTGCCCTTTTCTTGTTAACGTCGTCGTTCTTTTTAGCAAGACACCTCGGCAAATAAAACACAACACTTTCGCGAAAGGACGGTAACTATAAATATATTTTTTTAAGAAAATAGAATATATCCCGCATATTTACTATCATGCATTTGAATGCGAGCCCAAACACACGTCTAAGGTTTTTTTTTTTTTTTTTTTTGCCAAAACACACGTCTAAGTTCAAACAAGCAATTCATGCATCTTAGAAACTTAAACCTAACTTGTATCTATTTATTTTTTAAAAACTAGCTAAAAGTTCAAGGCACTCTAAGGATTTAAGAATGGGAAGACTCATAGTCCAAGAATAAGAGAAGTGATTTTTAGCTGAGTTGTTCATCACAATTAGTAAGCTTGGGTTTAAGTTATAGCTCATGATTTTAATCGAAGATATAAAAAGAATATAAGGTTGATTTGATCATGCATATTATCTAACGTGTCACATTATTACTAAACTTGTGACAAGTCAAAGCATTTGATTATGCCATTATCACATGACAATTATCACTGTGGCAATATACATTGTTATATTTAATTGGGCTATTATCACATTGGTTGTTAGTATTGTGACAATATGTCTTATGATATCATATGTGAAAAATGAGTATATGATGATTTATACAAATAAAGCATTGAGATGTATGTGAAACTATGAGATATGTGAATGTATGCCTCATATATGCTTTGTTTTTTTTTTAATATCAATTAATACACAATTGCACATGGTAAAGGAACCTTAGTTACTAAGTAGTTGTACCCACCCCTCTCATTTAACATTTTATAAACTCTAGCCAAAGTGTCAAAAAGGGAAAGGCTATGGAGGTTTAAGAATTAGTTATTCATATTATAAATCCTTCTTTATGTTATAGTATGTGCAATGAGTACAAAATTGCCAATTGGAATCATATTTTGATAATTACATGCACTTTATGATTTACATGACTAATTTTTTGTATTTTAAAGCCCTGGAATTATTGTATAATCTTGAGTAAACTTGCTATAAGGCCCAAATTACAGCGCAAGTGTTGAAGTAAATTAAAATTACCATTTGAGCATGAATATGATGTTGTGTGTAATGTTGGATCTCCCCCGTCTGTTTTGATATCAAGGGTTGAGAGTTAAAAATTATATATGAGATTTATATCACACATATAGTGTGTTGCACAGGTAGTTCTAAATTTATTGAGTGTGTTCCAGGTGATGATCATAGCTTTTGGCATAAATGTTGGCTTTTGATTTGGACACTTTATATGTTGTAAAAGTGTAAAAATAAGTTTGAATGTCCAACTCTTTTGTATAAAATTGTTTAGGAGTAAAACATGTTTTACTAAGTAGTGCGTGAAAGGAGCTTTCTATATATACTAGTTCATCTTAATTGAATATTAGACAAAAAATTAAGGCATGCCAAAAGTTGGTGATAGCAGTAATGTTGTCAATTATGTGCAATGTGTAGTAGTGCATGGTGCTTGTGTCACAATATGTTACATAGAGAGGAGCATGACACAACAAGTGCATGCCATGCCACAGCACTTACCTCTATTTCATGCTATCTTACTTTTCACAATTCACTTGTAATGCCTTTGGTGTAAAATAGTATCTCATGCTTTCACAATTGTTTTAGACACTAAATTAGATTTATTAATGCCTCGTTAATGGTTTGAAAACTTGGGATTCCAACTTGTGAAAAAATATAACTTATTTCACAAGTGTTTTAAAAAGGGTTAACCCTTATTAGGTATCAGTTTGAATTAATCTCTTGATTAACCTTAATTTTGTGATGAATAAATGGCTTGATAAGGAAGACCTTACATGTTGTGAGGACACTTAGAGGAAGAACCAGGAATTGGTCAAGGAACGAAGTAGGGTGTGGAATTAGAGTGGATACATTCATAGGGAAGACTGTGTACAGTGTAAGCTTCTATTTCATTCCTTAATAAAATATGTCTTTAACATATGCTAATCAACTTTTTCTCATTTTTAGCTCAGACAAAGGTTTGAGTCAATACTTGAAGAGGGAATTGCTATGAAGTATATGACTTATCACTTTAATCTAAAGACTAGATTCCTCGTCCCTAATGAGAAGGAAATTTGAAGAAATAAAGCGCAAACTTCAACAGCACCTTGTAGTTCTAACAAGATTGAGTTGCGGACAACGGGGAGGGGTTGCATCACAACCTTCTAATTTACCTATAAAACTTCCAGGTTTGACATGGATAGGTCATCCTAATGTGACTAACTCACAACTTGAAAAAGAACAAGAGAAGAGGATTTGCCTATAAAGAAGAAGCAACTCTGAGGATGCCATCTAGTGTTGTGTAATTTTGTGTATGTGCCTGAAACAAAAAACTAAATGATTTTTCTTGGGTAATTTTCATTGTGGCAGTAACCAATTTATTTTATGTCCTCTTAACTATACCAAATGTGGTAGGAATTATTTTGAATGTAGTTAGACTACTTTGTTAAGTGTGTTGTTGTTCATGTATGTGGTAAGGACCACGTTATTATCTATGTTGATAGGATTTCTTTTAAAGTTATCATATCATTAGTGTCGTGCCTGGATTATGACTTTCCTATAGAGGAAAAAAAGATAAATATAAGAAAAGAAGAGTTGCCACCAAAGTTTTAAAGGAAATCTCAAAAAATATATAATAAAAAAGGATAGTTTGCGAAAAAGGTTAAGGAGTCGATTATGCATGGAGAAGGTACCAAACACCCTATAATAACCGTCCAGAAAAATAATTACCCTAAGTTGATTGCATGCAATTAAACTGGCCTTTTAATAACATCTTAATTATCTATTATAGTTACATGTAAAAATGAAAATCAAGAAATAAATCAACAATTAAAAAAATAAATTATTCATTTACATGGAATGACTTGACCTGGAATTAAAACTTAGGCTTACGTACCCTATAATGAAAATTAAAGTCCACACAGTTTGAAATATTATTATTTAAGTTTTATTTTAATTATTTTAATTAATTTATTTTATGAAGAGAATGTTATTTTGGGTTGTATTATTTTATTTATTTTTTTAAAATTATTCCAAGGAAAGTATTAAAACCCGCGATGATTTAATATCACTCACAATCCGGTAGTTGACTCTCTAAGTGCATAGTGCATACAAGGATTTAATATGACTCATGGCAAACTTTAAATAAATTTTCAAAGTGAATTTCCTATAAAATAGTTTACTTATGAAATTTCAATACAAAATTTGATACATGCGATGACTTAATGTCATTCCCAATATCTCATTTGATATTTAAAGACTCTACGGTGATTTAGAATAATTCATGGCATAGCCTAAAATATGCCAATACCTGTGGTGATTTAGTATTACTCAAAATTCGCTGATTGAAGCTCTAAGTACATATAATAATTTAGTATCACTCATGGCAGATGCTAAGGGCATTTTCAAAGTGAATTTCCTATAAAATAATTTAATTATAAAATTTTAATACAAAATTTAATACCTGCATTAATTTAATGTCATTCACAGTATCTCTTTTAATATTTTAAAAATTCTATTGTGATATAGTATCACTTATGAACCTAATAAACAAATTATTATTTATAATATAAAATGAAGAAAATTTAACACCAACATTAGTTTTTTCTATAAAATATCTAGTCGTTATAGGAAGGCCTCTAAGTATTGTGATATGAAAAAAGAGTACGAAGAAGAAACAAAAAGCAAAAACGAAAATGAAAGGATAATAAATAAAAGAAAAGGGTGGTTGAAACCATTATCAGTATTGGTTATTAAAGGGAGTCATTGGAAAACTCAAAACAAAAAAAGAGAAGAGAAAGAAATGCAAAATAAAAATACAAACATTAACAAATCAAAATGACGATACATTCCAACGCAAGGGAAAGAAGATGAATAAGACAAAATAACACTACCCAATTTGTCAAATTTGAATGATAAACTCTTGGGTTAGCTTCACAATTTTTATAATGTGAGAGAGGTATACGATAATCGTATATTACCATTCCTCATTGTTCTATAATAGTTCCCCGTAATAAATGATATATTAATATTAACCAAAGTCATTAACACCAACTTATAAATAACAAAACTTGCAAAGTCTTCCTCATTCTTTTACAAAAGTTACACATGATTGTCATGCAGTTATCCATAAAGAAAAAAAAAGCTAAGAAACGCAAAGAACTATAATTGCCATTTTATATTTCTTTTTCTTAAGCTCCTCTTCACTATTGTATTTCCCCTATTTCTTCTCCAGCCCATTCACCTTTGCATAAATGACATCATGCTTTCTACATATGACTTTTCTCTCATCTCTTCTTCTCATAGTAGCATTCTCACCATACAATCTATTAAAGTGATCCAGCAACTCACATATGATTTCCTTTCCCTTCAACCTTAATCTTTCATCATGGCATGAGAAGTATCTATAGCCACCTCCTTGCCATTTTGTTTCAAATATATTAGAAATGATGCAACTAATACAATGAACAAGTTACAAGCTTCAATTTACCTAGTAATACTTTATGCAACTATATAACCTTCTCCATGGGTTATTGTCACTCCATGAGGTCCATCATAGAGCCAACAAACTGCGATAACAGTACCTGGATAGACCAATGTAATCTCGCTCTCCATTGTATTGCTAGAGCAAAGCAACTCTCCTTCTCCTGCTTCTCATTGACAATGAAAAAGTTTCAACTATTCCTAGCACTTAAAATGACCACTGCTACAACTGGATGTTATTATAATTGATTAATATGATAGATTTTAATTATAATTGATTATGTTATAACTAATCATATTTAAATATTATTTTTTTGAAATTGATTTTAATATAATTAAAGATGTTTGATGATTTAATCAGAATTAATTTCAGACATGTAAATTATCATAAAGAATATTGCTTTTTAAAATTAAAATATTGATGAAGTTGTATATAATGTCACTAAATTTATTCAACTTTATTTAACCAGTAAAATATACTATTTAACTTATACATGGCTAATTAA